ATATATAGATATTTTATTCTCATCAGAGTGGGGCTTATTGTGCTTTACTTCTAAATGCAGTTAATGAATTGAGTAAAGTTATAATTATTTATTAATGTTTAGCCTAGAATGTACTAGAGTAATTAAGTTGCACTGGCAGTTGCTGTTGCCTGTTGGTGAAATCTTTCGTACTTAAAACTTTGCTTTTGTTTGGCGTTTATTTGTTTGTTGTTTTCGTACTAGATGGTCAATTAATTTGTAAATTCGTATATAGATCTTTTTTTCTCATCATAGTGTGGCTTGTTGTGCTTTACTTCTAAATGGCTATCTTGTCTACTGCCAGGAGAAAAAGATAATGGAGGAACTAGATGAAGCAGATGAAGCACTTATCAAGTCCATAACTTTCCATGTATATACCTATATACTGTGAGCTATTGCATTTATAGTCACTGTTTTTTTTAATTGCTCTTAATCTTGATGTATAATTTGTTTATGAGCAACTTGTTGGTACAGGGTTCAAAAGATTTTGTTCGAAGAATACATGATGATGAGGATGATGATATTGAAGAGCTAGGCCAGCCATCTTCTAGTTTAAGTGAAACATCAGATAACAGTTTAAAGGTACTTCATTGCTATATTAGCTACGTTTTCTACTATTCTTTTTAATGTCTGAATGCACATGTATATGCAAATTTTACTGTGATGGTAGGTAGCTTTTTTGTGATTGGTATGCAAGGGTGAACTTGCATAATCCTGGGAAGGACAGGCATGTTGTTTTGGCTGGTATATCCATGTTGGACACGTGTCAGACACTTGTTTTGATATTTGCCAAAATTATATGTTAGAGATACAATGTCTTACTATTATAATGTCTGCCTGCTATAATAAGCCTAAATTATAAATAAGATATAATAAGTCTACTGTAATATCTAAATTATAATGTAGGCCCCTTATTCATAATAATTCAATGTATAACAAGAGTAATAGGTTAGGTCTTTTTTATTATTGTCTCTCATTCATAATAGGTTAGATCTTATTTATAATGCTATATTAGCCATGATATAACACCACCAATGCTGGTCTCAGGCGTAGATAAAAAAGGTGGAGGGCTCTGTTAGATCATTGACAACCAACATAAAATTATGTTAGATCTCATGAACATAAATTTTAACCAATTTTAGTATGGAGCTATGTTGTCACCCGGAAGTGGCACGAGACACCTTCACCACCTAGGTGTCCCGAATTGCAAACGGTGGTCTAGGTTGTTGCTTAGAAGCAGCCCATCATATTGGTGCCTAGATGTGGTTCTAAGTAGGCAAGGGCTCTCATTATTTTGGACTAACGAGAGTAAAGAAGTTAGTCCAAGAGCAGAGAGTTAGGTTAGCAACTTGGAATATAGGAACACTTTAAGGAAGATATTAGAATTAGTAGACACTATGATAAAAAAAAGAATAAATATTATTTGCTTCCCAGAGACTAAGTAGGTAGAGGAAAAATCTAGAAAGAATGATAGTACTTGATTTAAAATTTGATATACTGGAAAAGTTAAACATAGAATTGGCTTAGGAATTGTTGTTGATAAGGATATTGAAAACAATGTTGTAGATGTAAAAAGATTTGGAGATAGCATTATAGTTCTAAAATTTGTAAAAGGACAATATGTTTTGAATGTCATTAGTACAAATGCCTCAAGTTGGATTGGATGATCAAACCAAAAGAGAATTTTAGAAAAGCTTAAATGATATCATTCAAAGAATGCATATAACTAAAAAACTTATAATTAGAGGAGATTTGAATAGTCATGTAGGGAAAACATATGGTGAATATAAAGGGATGCACGAGGGCTTTGGTTATGGGAAGAGAAATGAAGATGGTGGTATGATTTTGGATTTTGCAACTTCATATGATCTTATAATTGTAAATATTCACTTTAAGAAGACTGATGAACATTTGATTACTTATAAGAGTGGTCATAATTGTAGTCAAATAATTTTTTTTCTCACTTGAAAGATAGATAAAGTTATTTGTATGAATTGTAAAGTTATACCTGCCGAAAGTTTGATGAATCAACATTGGTTGATGGCATTAGATATTTATTATAGAAAATGGAAGAAGAAAAATATAGTAGAAAATTTTACCAGGACTAGATTGTGGAATTTTAAAGATGATAATGTAAATGCTTTTAAGAATAAGAGGGAAAGGGAGACGACTTGGAACTTAGACGAGGATAATATTAATATTGTTTGAACTACAATGTCTAATAAGACTAGCAGCTTAACAAAGGAAATTCTTGGTGAAACTAAAGGTAAAGGTGTAACCTTAAGAGAGAGTTGGTAGTGGTGTAACGAAGTTCAAAATGTAATTTTTACTAAAAGATCATGTTTTTAAGATTGACAAAATTATAAAAAAAGAGGAAAAATGTAAAAGATATAAATAAAAAACAAAAAAGAGGCTAAAAAGAGGTTAGTATAAAAAGATATAAAACTTATTATAATTTTTATAAAAAATTAGGTACTAAAGATGGTGAAAAAGATATATCGAATTGCTAAAGCTAGAGAAAGAAAGTGTAAGGATTTAGGTAATATTAGATGCATTAAAGATGAAGATCATAGAATACTTATCAATGATAACAAGATTAAGGAAGATGGAAAAATTATTTTATAAGTTATTTAATGAATATTCCATTACAAGACTTAGATTTAATGATAAATAATAGTGATAGATTTAATAATCATAGATTTGTTCGTAAAATTAGAGGTAATGAAGTAAAAGACGCATAAAGAAGATGAAAATAGTCAAGAGTGTCGTGCCTTTTGGTATCCCTATCGAGGTTTGAAAAATTTTAAGAAACAAGGGAGTAGTTTGGTTAACTAGCTATTTAACAAAATCATGATATTCGAAAGGATGCCTGATGAATGGAGAAAGAGGATTTTTAGTGTTAATTTACAAAAATAAGGGTGACATACAAAATTGTTCTAATTACAAAGGAATTAAAATCATAAGCTAGACTATGAAACTTTGAGAAAGAGGTATCGAAAGTAAAATAAGGCTTGATCTTGACTAAGTACTATGAACTTGACTAAGCACTCTGAACTTGACTAAGCATATGACTCTTTTACATATTTCAATGGTGACAAAAGATTCATGTAACCGACCCTAAATAGTTTGGACTTACAGCTTTGTTGTTGTATATTAGTCATGATATATGTTACATTGTGAATATATAATGATTGTTGCAATATTACTTTTTGCTTTTACGAAACACATATAAGGCCTATATTAACATGAAAATTCAACCAGAAATATATTAAAAATGATGTATTGTCGTGTCTGTGTCGTGTCGTGTTCTTGTCCGTGTTCTTAGGCGTAATCTTATTTAATATGCCAATTTGACATCACATAAATTGTTCATCATGTGACTGTATATGATGTGATTCATATTTGGACTTAAAATTGTCAAGGCACCAAGATACCTAGGGTTAGATACAGCTGATTGTCTAGGACTTAGACTGTACTGGGATCCTCAGATCTGAAAAGCCAGAAACAAATCTGTGCTGGTCTCTAGGTGCAAGCATATGTCATAGATAACTAGAAATTTGGAACATACCTAGCTATACATGTTATGTGCTATGACAATATCTGATATTTTCTTTTTTTGCATTTACTGGACCTAAAGTCTTAATGCACATAATTTTAAACAATGGTTATTAGATATTTTTGTTAAGATATTTCAGATTTTTTGGGCACTGAATGCTTGGGGCTTCTCGTCCTTATATGATATATTTCAATGTAATATTAATGGTTTTTTCTCTGAATTAATAATTTATAGGCACATTGCATTTGTGATCATTCGTTGTATGATTTTTTACATTGGTCGATTTTTAGCCAACACTTCTGTTATTCTGCAGAGGAAGCTTCCTATGGAGACCTCAGTGAAGGTGGAAAAGCCAACAGATTCTTTAACTAAAGCTACCATGTCTGATGGCTCTAAAGATAGAGGTACTTAATGACTGGCATTTTGATCCTGCTATATAGTTTTGTTTATAGGCAGTTGATTGTGGATCTTTTTTTCTGCAATTCTGAAATTATGCTCCTTGTGTGGTTTATTTACTTCAAACCTCGGGTTTTTGCAAAGGGAATATCTCTCATATTCTGTAACCTCCGTTCCTGCCCTCTGCTCCCTGTCCGGATCTTGCATGCTTTTTTCTCTCCTCTTCTACTCCTTTATTTACTCTACCTTGATTTTTTTTAACATTATTATTCTTTTTTATTTAACTTCTAATTATACTAGTTACTACTAACATACTTTATTAACATGCTATTGCCTCCGGTAACAACCCAGCTTTCATTTTCTTAATTGCAGTTGGTGGCTTTGAGAAAATCTGGCTTGTATGCCCTTCTTCCATTTCATGTGTACCCAAAATTTAATGTGCGTTTACTGTGGAGATATATATTAATTGTGCATCTTTAACATGATTCAAACCATGATTCTAAATTTTGGATATCGAACCAGGGGACGTTATAAATATTTCATGTGATGATGAATTTAAGGGTGTGAGAACAGTATGGATGATAATTAAGCGCATATTTCACTATAATTGCATATTTTCCTCTCAGTTTCATTAATGAACTCTTTTCTGCACATGTGACAGGAAATCAGGGTGGTTCTTTGTTGCCCAAGTTTATACTAAAATCTCGATCTGTGACAGAGGGTCCTAAGAAGCCTCGAACTGCATCCACAGATTGTGACCCTTCAAAAGCCGAGGAAGAAGGTAAAAGCAATAATACCACTGGAGAAGGGATCACAAATGGGCTGCAATCCCTCTGCCAAAACTATGACAGTGATGAAAGCGATTGAAATCTACAATCTTATTTTATGCCTTTGTAAATTGAATATATAGAGGTCATAATATGACTGCTTCACAATTGTTGGTTGTATCTGATCGGATTAAATCCTGCTGTAGTAGTGTCTTCGTGTGTTTTCGTGTCTGCTAAACGTATGATTTGATTGCTGTGGCATCAATAACACAACAGATTTCACATATTATGTTATTATTAGGAACATAATAACATTGCCAAAAAATGATGTGCAAAATCATCTTTAGATTGCAGAGTTTAGGTTACCTGAATGCCATGGTTGATTGGAGAAAGGTTCACACAAATAAATAAAGAAAAAAAAAACCAAGTCGAGAATTTCCTTTTAAATTAATTGAAGGAACAGTCAGTACCTTTTCTTTTCGATGGGTGTCCAACCCAAAATTTTCCCGACGGAAAAAAAATCCCCTGTGGTTAGAATTACAAGCTTTCCCTTTGCTTACAAGAAGGAAAAATATTACATCAATGGGACCTAAGCCTACTACTGTACAAGCATGTCCAAAAACCCACCCACAGTGTTTCCAGCCATCCAACCTTTTTCCTTGCCCTTGCATCCCCACACAAGGTTTGATCTGCTCCGTCAGCCCATTCCCATTCGATGCCTCTTTTTAAGACCTCGGGCATTCTCTTTTCTTTAATAATGCCACTACCGACAATCTGTGTTCTCGAGGCCTCTCAAGATCAGTCTAACATTTGGAATTATAAGGCAGACGAATCATCCAACATCAGTGATATCCTGCAGTGGTTCCATTTCCTCGAGGCCACTAAAGAAGTTTGGATCATAGGCATGGGGTACAATATCTACAAATTGTGGCTCTTCAAGTGCATCCATGGCATGCCACTGAGAATGGTCACACCCCGTGTCCAAAATGTCAAAAGACTCCATGAGTGTTGTTGGTCGAGGTTGTGCAACATATTTGCTAACCAAACTGGGGTCTTCTTGCACTTCTGTAGTTCTTTGAATTTTCAATTTGGAAGGCTTTATTATATCGGATCCAGATTTGTGCTTGCCTAATGATTGCGACTTCAAGCCACATCTGTATCTGTTGGTATCAGATGAAGGAAAAGCTGATGATGCCCATCCGCAACTATCTCCCTCAAAGCAAGCTTCTGATGCCAGCCTACATTAAAAAAAAAGGAATAATTGATTTATACAATGTTTTATATCTCCAAGCACATAGCGACATGAAAACGTATGATACTTCAAGATTTCACCCCATATATTAAATCGTTAGCAAAATAACAACTGCGACTATTAAGGGTCAAATTTTTGGATAAAACACAGCTGAAATGGGAAATCCAAACTTCTCTCTCTCATCGGGAACAGATATCCTGAAGACTCGATCTTTAAAATGTCTCAGGAAAATACAGTTCCATAAGATATTTAGCTACCAGCAAGTAGTCAACAACTAAGAACTACAACAAACATATAAATAGTTAATGTATTTTATCAACCAAACTACTAAAGCTCAGGTTCACGATAACACTATACTCCGCTTAAAGAGTAAAGTTGCATTCATGCATAGGATGGCACTTCAAACAAAAGAAAGACGACACGAGTCTAAAAAGACACATAGAAAATGGTCTAAAAGCAATATTTCCATCACTCATTCGTCTTTATTTATTCGATCCCTTTTCTTCTGGCAGAAAAAGGCATCTTCCAACAGATTCAATCCTCACGGAACAACTTTCATCCTTTTTTTGTTGATTGGTTCTGTCTAACTTGTGATTAAGATAAGTGTTTCTTATATAAGAAAGATGCAATTTTCCTCTCGATACCAATTATCCTTCTTAAATTTCTCATTGCATTGAATGAGCTTTCCGGGAGGACATTGTTCGATTGCTCAATATTAACCAAAAGATATTGCAGATCTTCTAGCCATGTTAATGCTTGGCTATGTTTAACTTTGGCACACCCCACCATTTTAACCATTCTAATGCTTGTAGTCATGGAAGTAATGTCTCAGATAACTTGCACAATTAAAACCATTAAATTACGAAGGTTCTGTTTAACTTGCTATAATGGATAAGTCAATGAAAAATAGCGTCGGCCATGAGCTTCACCTTGGATGTGACAACTCCATCTATAACGTGTACAAATAGGCATGGGGCTCAGGACAATATTAAAGCAAGTTGTTCTAAAAGGTGCTGTATTCCTTCCCAAAAGAATGCCCATGAAAAATAACTTATCCATTATATAATAATGCTTGGTTATCAGATAAACGAGGCATGTGCATGAATTTGGTTTTAGTAGTTATACGTCGTGGGCTGCTAAGGGCTTACACAACCACACTATGTTCACAAAAGGAAAGAAAAGTCAGAAACTGGGTATTTTAGTGCTTACCTGAACCGATTTTCAGCAATCCCGCATGATGATTCTGCTAGTAAAAACTGCCCTGGAGGTTCATTTGCTGCTTGTGGCAGTTCTGGAACATGAATCGATAAACTAATGGTCGAGGGGAAAACACTGTCATAATTCACTTCATCACTGGGAAAGTCCAGCATCAGATTCACATGGTCAACTACAGATTGAGAACCTAGCTCGTTGGAAACAATTGCTGAGTCTTCGTGATTCTTATAAACATCAGTAAGGGCCGTGGATACTAGCTTACTTGACTGTCTCGAGCTGGCTAAGTTCATCTTTCCAGTCAATCTTTGAGACTTACCACAAGAGTCAGAGAACCTCCTATTTGAACAGAAATTAATTTTAGAAGATGTCCTGCTTCGATAACTCTCAAGGAGACAATTTGCTCTCCACACAGAAGAAAGAATTGCTAAGAAATGTTTCTGAAGAAGCAATTCATTATCAGGAAGCTCACTTGTCACATTCAGCAATACACGTATTTGATCCTGCAAAAGATTCTCTTTTAGACATATACTCTTTTGAAACATGCATCTCATGATAGGCAGAACATAGCCAACATCCTAACAACAACAATTCTAACAAGTATATTAAATAATCATCGAAGCTACTATTTCAAGTAAAAATTTTATGATGCACGAAATGAACCCAGAGAAATTAACTAAAGTAATAGCTCATAATATAAGACACTGAAATATCGAAAACCGAACAAAGCAATAACAGATGGCAGCAAAATAGATATACATTACAAATAACTGCATAGACCAGAAAGCCTGTGAATTACAAGAGACAAAACTGAACATAGTGCATAAGACAATGTTAGAATAAATATAAAGTTTCCAGGCCAAAGAATTAAACCTACCAGTTTTAAAATTGTTACTTGCCATAGAAAAACAAGATTTTGATTTTTCTAATAACTAAATCCCACTTTAGAAGTACAGCTAGCTTGGCATCAGTCAGTCAATCCAAGTTTCTTGAAAATTCAAACTAATCAATCAGATCAATTAAAAGAAAAAGAAGCCATTTACCTCAGTCACTTTTAGAAGTGCCTTTCCAGATCCAGAAGAGGTAATCTTTTCTGTATTAGAACTGTCCATAGCAGACAGAACATACTTAAAAAACAGTTCTCGAAACCTCTCACAACAATGGACAGGATGGCGAAACCTTCCTCTGTAAGATCCACCACAAGGAATATCATTAAGTGTGTCACTTATAAAGCTCCAATTAGTGCCATACTCATGTACGATTGCGCACAACAAAGCATCTTCCTGAGATGACCAAATATCTGGAGCAGGAAAGCAATCTTTTGACCAAACTGGTCCCCTCTTTCTAAACCTTTCTGGTTTCACCATTATTACACGTTTTACTGGAACATATGCGATGGAAATCTTTCCACCAGATTTGGTTCTGCTTGCAGGTCTCAGATCAGACTCGGTAGCTCCGTCTCCAAGTTTCAATTCTGTAGCTTCCATAGTATGTTTACCATACTTGTTGAAATCAACAACATGGTTACTGTGAGAAGCTTTCTTAAGTTTCTTAATGCTTTTCCTCAAGTTATTTTCTTCATCTTCTGAGGGAGCAAAAACCTTCTTGCGCTTTTTTCTAGGTGGTGAGCGTGTTGGTGACCCAGCAGAGATAATATCTGGAGAAAGAACTTTATCATCAACAGATATGTCATCTAGTGATGGTTCCTCATGAACAACTTCCATGTCCGAAGCTAATGGCCCTTTCTTCAGAGACTTGAACTTTGTCTTCTTCATTTTCTTTTTTGTCTTAGGCTTCCGTTCATCTAGTGTCCCATTCCTGAAAGCAAAAATATTAATTTAGCATGACCAATGTGAAAGATGAACCTATTTTCTTTTTTGGGGTAACATTCAAATATATATTCAAAGATGAGAAGTATCAAGTCTGTCTTTAAATATTTCATGATAAGCAGTAAGTAGTATAATTTTTTTTATTCTATATCATCAGTACACCATCCGCATCATCAGTACATCAGAAATTATCCACTTTTCCTCTCTTTTGTTAAATTAAAGACATATCATCAGTACATCAGAAATTAGTAAAAGCCATTAACCATAATGGGGGACTTGAAGTTAATAGCCTTACTTGAAAGCATCATTCTCATCATCTGCATCATCCGCTAACTGTGCTTCACATTCTAGTTCTTCCAACAACTAAGATAATCATAAGAGTAGGTCAGTCAAAAATCAGCTGGCACAGAAAAAAATGACAGGAACAGCATTTTCACAAACTAACCTGCTGTTGAGCTAATGCTTCAACATGCTGGCGATATGCTGTGGTTGCAAAATCGGCATCCCATCCTGAAAATGAACCAAGAAATAAGCATCTAACTTGACACTAAAGAATCAGAGAGAACCAAAGGAGATGCTATCATGCAATAAAAGATCAACCATGATTTGTGCCATTGAGTTTTTCTTGACCATATTTATTAAATTAATTGATGTGCATACCTAAGAAATATGCTAGGCAAGAATTGGGATCTCATGGCATTGGAGGTGTACTGACGACTTTTGGCACTCACATCATTCAGCACACCTCTATGGCCAAAATTGGTCTAAGCATAAGACAATAGGTTGGCTGGCATGTGCTTGTACCTTCTTGGCCCAGTATGTTTTAAGCTACAATAATGCATGGAGATCAACAAAGAAATCTT